CTGCGCTCGCTCGCTCGTAACAATAGCACCGACTTGATAGTGGATTTCAAAGTACTTGCATCAGCTCTTCCTGCTATTGCAGACGATCATCTCCTCACAGGGTAATGTTGTTCGGGACATGAACGAAGATCGTTTTCGGAGTTTCATAAGTGCTACTGCAACAGCCTGGCACAAAACAGGACTTGTACGCTCTTCTCTGCACTTTGCCCTTCAGTATATCACAAAAGAATTGTTTAGAATCCATCTTACGCTTCTTTCACAGTCTCCCTTGCCACCGTAGGGCATAGATAGATTGCTGTTGCTGGTTTAAGGCACGGTAGATAGAAATTACCTCGGTTCTCAACGCCTTAAGTTATTTTCATAAAAAAGAACAAATAAATGATCAATAAGATGACAGGAATGTAAACATTTTAATCGTAAAGTAGTCCAAATATTGGAATGAGCTTTTGCTTTTCAGCATCCTCCGATTCATCATCTTTATCATTTGAAAATTCGAGGTACATAAAATGTTAATCACGCGCTCATGTTAAGTGGAAATATAGTACACGGCAGACACATCAATTTTTGACACTGAACATTTCATCCGTAAATGTTTTAGCATAATTTAAAGTTAAAAACAGCGCGAATGGCAGAGTGAAGCAAACAACATCTTTCACCCATTGATATAACATGTAATCTGTGGTGCGCCAGATGCGCCATTATTTGTCAACCGCAGAAGGTGACATGTGACGTAACAGCATCAAGAGCATCTTTTTTCAAGAACTTTTCAAAACAAGTTTCCTATCTTTCTTCCCCCATTTCTCTCAGCTTATTGATTTTATGAGGCAATGGTATGCACCATAAATTCTGTGAAAATAGTTTGATCATTTTCATGCATTCTTAAAAAATCGAGTTCCCAACCCCATTGTAAAATCACTTACAGAGAGAAATATTTTGAAGACTTACTGTTTTTCGTTTTGATGTCTATTTTCTCATCCTTGACGCGAAAAGCGGTTAAGTTCTTCAAATCTAGCATTATACACTTGGTTCATGGTTCATTGTATATGACCGGAACCAGTCATGTTGAGCACAATGGCTATCTAATGATTTTCTGTACATTAAGTGAAACCAGTTGGCTGACCTTTTGTACCGACCGCAGTGTCTGCGCCGGACGTCCGGCTGCCGCCTTTGTTTCCGGTCCCGAGGATTCCCCAGCCGCCGCCTTCGACTCTGATGCCGCTCTCCCGCGCCTTCCCGCTCCAGCGGCGCTGGCGGCCGAGAGCTTCCCCACTCATCTGCACATTGATTGTATGCTAACACGCATTGCATCGCGGCTAAACAGGCGTCGGAGCCCATCGGCGGCGACACTTTGCCGAAGCCGCGCCGCGCTGGTATGCAGATGACGGCGCCACTCGGCCGCTGCAGAGGGGCGGCGGCGCGCTTTGATGTGCTGTTCATCATCGGCCCATAGAGCCGGAGACGACCGGAACTGGTGCTGATGTGTCGCCACTGATACCGTGTCGAAAGGGAGCGTCCGCCGCTCAGGGCGCCGCCAAGTAATCCTTCGCTTCCGGAAGATTAAGCGTGATGACGAGGTAGTGGTGAGTGACTTTTTTGTTTTGCTATGGAGTTGCTTAACCATCTATGGGTGTACTATTTATAATAAGTGATCCATATTTCGGGCAATATCATGTTCATGATCAATCCTTTGCAGTGTAAGCACTTTTTAATTTTTGTATTGGTTATTTTATAAAAGGCGCCTACCCGTTTACTTACATATTATCAAGCAAATAGATAATGTCAGCAGACAAAAAGACGTTTATATATAGTCACGCTAAAACAGTATGCAGGCTCAAATTTACAAATCTAACTGGGTATGTGAGTAAATAGGTGTATTTAAGCACACAACTTATCACTGCTGTAGGTATAATCAAGCCCAAGTGAAGCCTGTGGTTAAGCTGCCGGAATTCCACTCCTTGCTGAAAGGTATCCATTGATATACGAAAAGTTTGTAGAAAGACAGATGTTCCCGCCTGAAGTACAAACACGTCCAAAACTTTCCTTCATTATCATAAGATTAGCCTCACAAAGGTCGACGAAATGCTCTCCATAGACTACTCCAGGATTCACGTCGCCAGACACTAGCGTTTCTTCACCAAAAACACTCTTTCCTGGACCCCGAAACGCTGCTGACAGCTCTTCTTCCATGCTTTCCGGGCTGTTTTTCTCGGCGCTTCAAAAAACACTCAATTCAAACACGGCTGGCGCGTGCTTTTATGTGTGCCACACTGTGTCGCGCTCTCCGTCTGACTCGGAGTGACGAAGTCCTATATATGTAGTGGTGAGTCGGTCGTCACGAGTCGAGAGATCATAGCCGCAGTTATCAGGCTGAAAAGCTTGCTCACGCTCGATAGAACAGCGAGCCCAGTTGCAGCCAAGGTGTTGGGGTGTGTCGATTCGGCAGATTTATCTGGTGGGATCTTCGACGCGAAAATTTGACTTCGATGGCATCTGTACCTACTATGGCCCCTGACCTGAACAAAAAATAGCCGGCAAAATATCGTTGTTATCCTTTTTGACGGTATTTCGAAAATCACCTGTTACTTTATTTGCTACGAGTGCCTACATGCCCTGCAGAAGCAAAATTATTGTATGTAATGTAACGTAACAAATGATGTGTCAATTGTATATCAATTGAATGTTTAAATTTTGATAAATGATATTGAACTGGTACTAACATGGCATCGGTAGTTGAAGCGTAATATTTGTATATAGTGCTGCGCTTCGATGCTGCTTCGATGCAGCCACTCTTGTATTCTACTCGTACTAGTACATATGCTTTTATTTGTGTATGTCTCAATTTCGATCCCGACTTTGGTATTATCAATGATTTTGGTTTGAACTTGCTTGAGTATCTGTTCTTACATTACTGGAATTAGTTTCGTTTCAAAGTGACATAAAAATGCATTTCTGAACGTCCTTTTTTTGAAACACAAAACGACCACTCCATCCAGTAATAAACTGATATGTCGTCAATTACCGGGTGCAGTGCATAGGCCTCCTAATGCATTTCATCACCCAAGCGACAATGCAAATAGCTCTAAGCTATTGTTTCCAACGCCGCGTCGCATGTTTTTCGCTTCGCTTTTAGTTTTTCTTCGAAATCCATCCGGAAAGATACGCTAAGTGTTGTTTTGTTGGAACTGATGGCTTTGCAAACTTGTGACCGGAATCTGCAGCGAAAAAACGACATTCGCGGAATCGAACGATAGAGCTCCGGACGATAGAACCACCCCATTAGCACGTATCCAACAATCTTTGACTACCGATGTCGCACAGAGTTTAGAAGGCGCACTTTGTTTACTGGGCGAGCTGCGCCTATGATTACTGTCATGTGAGTCTAAAGAGGACAGATGGGGCACGCTGGCACGTGAGCTAGGGCGTGTTATGCACCATGGAAATGCAGGATGCACTGCATGCTAGCTAGAATTGTAGTAGGTATGTAGACTGTAGTGCAGTGCAGTATGTACATAGATTGTTAGACGGGCATGTATGATAAGCCTCGGCGTGATCCTTTCCTCGCAGCATTAGGCTGTCGCTGCAATGTCACTGACAGGCGGTAGGTCTTCGCCAAACCTTTGCTTTGCTTGTGTCAGTTCTATGTGATACTGGCACTTGGTGAGTAATAGATCCTTATCCCGCGCCCCAGTGGCGGTCTCAGCCAACTTCGCCCTAGTCGGGGGGGGGGGGGGGGGGGGCATATGTTACCACCCACCTCTAACTCAAAAACTAAGAGGGCTAGAAAGACGCGGTAAAAAGCAGTGGATAGCTCTTAATGCGTACGTTTGAAAGTATTTCAGTCATTTTTCATCTTAGAGCAATATTGGGGTCACCAGAGGTCATCAAAGGTCAAAAGTTGCCAATTGTCATTATATTTTTCAGAAAACATGCCATTATCTCAGGAACTATGGTAGCTAGAAAAACGCATGGAAAAGCAAACGATAGCTTTTGAACTCTTCTTTTGATAAAGCATTATCAAAATTGACCTCAGGTCCACGGTTTAGCCTCCAGAGAGCAAAAACTCCAAAAATAGCTGTTTTTACGGTAAGTGTTTTTCGACAATAACTTTCGACCACAAAAAGCCACGACATTTCTATTGCCAGAATCGTGTTCCTTTCGCCGAGACGCGTCGAATGAACAATAATTCGACCTTGAAAGGTCAACTTGAAAATTTGACCTCAGGTCAAGGTCATGACCTGACCGGAAAAGGTCATGTTGTATATCAGTCGATGCGTCTCCACAAGACAAACACAATGAGACCATCCCCAGCGTTCTATCTCTTTCCAATCGAGAGTTACTGGCAAAAATCTGTTTGTAGCCTCAAATGACCTCGGATGACCTTTCTAGAGGCTATCAGCAAAAATGACGCCTTGGTCATCACGGGTGGTCCAAATCATTGTGATTCTGAAATATTTGGACTGTTCCTATGCGTACATACGGATCTAGATGCAATTTCATTTTTCTCCATTGACTTGTAATGGAAAGGTCACGCCACTGACCTGACCTTAGGTCACGGATATAAAAAAATCCGAGATATACAAATTGTAGGCGCCCATAACAGCATGCAATCCACCAAGTTTAAAACCTTTCTGACAAACACTGCAGGCTGGACATGATTGCAAACTTTTTTAGGCTTGGTCAGTTAACTTGACCTGGTGACCTGACCTGACATGACCTGGGGTCAAAAATTTCACACATTGTCCAAAATTGATATACCAAAAGCTACCCCAAGCGACGCGGCGCTACGCGCCGCGGTTTTTTATTCACACGCAAAAAACGCGACAGGGTGGTAACATATGCCCCCCCCCCCCCAGCACTGGGGCGAAGGAAGAGTATATAATTCCTCTGAAATCGATCCATGCATGAAAGATGTTCTTGGCGGAAGTTCTACGCATTGTAAGGCTGTTTGTTTCATCACTTCCTTCTTTTGAGTTTCCCAATGGTAGTACGAATAAACATCATTAAGAAAACACGCATTGTATTATCTACAGTGAACAATGACGACAAAGCAGAGCAGGGTGACAATGAGGTGATGAGGGGTGACGCAATGTTGTACTGGCGCGGCTCCATGCTGCATGGCCGCCGGGTGTTCCCCTGTAACAGACGCACAGACAGACACACAAACATCAGGTGACAGACGTTGGGTAACGGACTGACATGTGCAGAAGGGCCGATGGTGGTCTTTGTTGGGATCACCAAAGTCAAATAACACGCAGGGGCCATTTAATGACGACGCAGATATAGCATAAACCACTTCAGCGAGCCTCCAGCATTCCCACAGTTTGGAAATAGGGAATGACAGCTTACCATCAATATGCTGACCGTTTACGGCTGTTGTCGATAACTAAGCAACAAGAAATAAGGAAACAAACTAGCACTTAAAAACCCTAATAAAAGCTCACAAACTGCTATATTCATACGACTTTAGATGGAGCACCCGGATGGCCTCTGAGTGCGCCCTGATGTTGCCATAGCAACGCTGCATAGCCATAAGTGGGATAATGGAATGCATTAGTCATGTTGTAATAGCTTGTGGCGCCTTCTGGCCTCATATCCCCAAGAAAATGCATAACGACCAAACAAATATATACAAACGATGGGTGGATGAGCTGTTTTGCCATGCCATGAACTATTTTCACGTTTCGATAACAAAGTTGTTGCACTGACTGTTTTCATGTTTGGGTCTTTGAGGACTGTTTTAGTAAGCTTTCATTCCGGCGCTGCCTGGTAATGGATAAACCAAATGTGATTTAGGATGAATGACTGCAGCTTAGTAGAGGTGAATTGACAATGAAAATACATTTGGGCAACAGAGCTTTTGCAGAGTGGAGCAGCATTATGTGCTGATATCGTGCCGATATTACCAAACTGCTGCACTCGGGCTATTGCAAATTAACGCGGTTATCATTATTTCCAAAATGTTTCACCTTTGAAAGACTAGTATTAAAAAAAATCCAGCTGTAACTTTTCCTACTACGGGCATGATTGTACGCTACTGGGTACTGATACCTACTAGCTAGTTCACCTGTTTTTCCCCTCCTCCTTCCCCTCCCCTCCCCCTCCCCAGTACTGACCGCTAATGACGTGCACCTGTACGTGCGCGTGCGCCGCGTTGGCCGGCGCGCACGTGTAGGCGCCCGAGTCGCGCAGCCGGGCGCCGCTGATGGTGAGCCGCGAGGTGACGTACTCCTGTGAGGTCTCTGTGACCCAGCGGTCGGCGGCCAGCGGTTCGCCGTTCTGTAGCCAGCTGAGTGCCACCGCTGCGCAGGGGCGTAACGGGTCAGTCGAGAGGGCGTGGTAGGTGGAATGCGAAAAAGGCCAATGCTAAAGTCGCATATCTCTATCTAGAGCATGAACTCTATCGAAGTTATTCACATGGGCAGTACAGACTGATACCAAGTGTAGGTTCCGTAAGTTGTTGGGATTTTAGTACATGAAGACCATGAAAAAGTATGTTCAACTAGAGGAAAAGAGTATATAACTATAAAGTGACGTGATTTGGTCTACTTATAGGAAATCAGAGAAACAACGCAGTGTGCATACCTTCTGAGCCAGTGGTTGGCATATTCACAACACAAGTGAGCCTCAGTGTTGAGTCCACTTTAGCGTACACTTGTCGTGGACCCTGGATTGTGGCAAAAGCCTCTGCGAAAAAGAATAGGAGGTTGGATATTCATAACGATGAAACCTGTGCGATGCAGTACAGCTGGGATAAATCAATATAAGATCCCGTCTATTGGAGCTTTCAATGTTCATTTTTAGATTCACCAAAGACTAGAATCACGTATTTATTTCTTACGTGCTTTCAAATTGGTGTAAAGGTATGGAAGCAAACATAAATCGAAGCGACTGTCCTGATAAATTGGAATGCAGTTCAAATGTGATTAATTGTAATAGGTTCAGGAGTAGATTGTCGTTTACCGAAATAGGCAGATTGCTGTTGTTATGTTCATCATTCACGTAGCAATAAAACCATTCTGCATCATTCTGCAAAATAAAACATTATATGCTGATCAACTTGACTTGATAGACGTGCAGTGTAAAATTGTTGCCTGTTTTTGACGCAAAAATAAAATAAAAATAAGGACAAACATGGCATGATCAAGTATAATTCAGACATGTCATTCCGCTTGGGTGACGCAAACTCACCTACTACTCGAAGATAAAAGGCCAACGACCTTTTGGGCTCCGTGTTTACCTGACACTCATACACACCAGTATCACGGGCCTGTGGGAAAAGGATACATGAACTCGATTACAAACAGAATGGTCAGAGTCACCCGTACCTACAGGTAAAGGAACATTTGCTAAATCACATCGTAACCGGTAACGGTTTTGTGATGTTTACGGGAAATGCGGGTATAAGGGTCGTCGACTGAACCTTTGTCGTGCTAAATGATTTGTATTTGTGTTTGTACATGACAGTTAAACACTAAAATGACTATTATGAGTGTCGCGTCAGAGTCAAAAGGGAGAACAAGATAGGATGCGCTCATTAATCACATCACTCGGCAAACAAACCAAATCACACATTCATGAATGTATATGATGTAAATGATGTGCGCCAGACAAAGTGAGGAAGCCTCTTACGTTCCAATGCTACGAACATCTTCCGTGCGTGCTTCTATTACGAACACTTTTCCCTGGAGAAATTATGCGCGTTCGGCTAGGAGATGTGCGGCGGCTGGGGGACACTAACCAGACCCAGTGCTGCTGGGTCACTGACCTGTGCGTATTTGACCAACAGCGTCCAGTTCTGGGAGCCCTCCGGATGGGCTACCTGGTACCGGGCGTCCGATGTGTATGTGAAAATGTCCGTGGTTAGGATGTGCAGATCGCGCTTCCTAATCCACGATACCTGTGAAGAGAACAGAGAGCGGGAGATCATGGACGCTGATGCAGTGCGAATTGTTAGCTACAGAAAATGTCTGAGATAATTATGTTGGCGCTTGTTTGATGGCTGATTTTCAGCACCGTGCCACATCTTTAGCGTCTTCATAGCAAGGCCTCCTCTAAGGATTTTTCACTGGGTGGGCAAATTTTTTCGCCGCTCCCCTGCCCAAGGGCTGATCCAGCCACTTCTTTTGGGGTTCACCCAATTTCAAAACCTGTGACGGGGGGGGGACCAAATAAGCTGTGCCATTATTGGAAACAAGATGATAGTTTGCAAAGTTAACGTAAACTTACATGTCCATGACTGCTCGGGCTCCTTGAAGCAGAAATCTAATAATGTTCGCTGCCTCTTTTTAGGAGGCATGGTCAGCTTACTTTTGACGCGTCCTCTTCATCTAGTTATATACGGCCCTATATCGACATTAACCCTCGCCGGGCCAAGGGGGTTGATATGCAACCCCCCCTTAGGTTTTTCGTAAATAACGTAAAAACGGCGGCGCGTAGCGCCGCAAAATTTGGCATACCCTCTGGGGCAACCTTTAGACACCTTCCCTTAAAATTTCAGGTCTCTGCTATTTTAGGTCAGGTCACCAGGTCACTAAAACCGGCACAATAACAGGGTAAAATTGGACTATATTAGCGGCGACGGAATCGCTGAGTTTATCGTTTATAGCAGTGGTCGGCAGGTCATTCGGGGTCGTGCCCCCTTTTTGGGCGCCAGGCAGGGCCATTACCCCCTCCTACCAGACCCCATTGCTGACACAACTAAGTTTACTGAAATTCCATACCGTCCTGGAACTCTTTGGGTATTTGTGCATTTCCAATGCATCAAATTTAAAACATGACACTTCCTCCACAAAACATTTAATGCCTATATCCCAGTAGCGGCGGAACACCTTCAATTAAGGGCGAGGGGGGAGCACTGCCGACTTTTGGTCCCATTCTTTCCATGCAACGCCCATAGGGCTAATGTTAAAATGCAAAAATCAAAGGGTGCACGGTGCCCCGGTGCCCTCCCCGTTCCGCCGCCTATGCTATATCCCATTTAACCCTTGTACGTATAGGGGCGGCGGGTGGTTTTTCGTTAAAAGCTCACGTAAAAGGCATTGGATCACGACAAAATTGTACCCTCGAGCCCATCATTTTTTTTTTCTCACCAGCCCGGAAAATATCATGACCTGCCATAATGACCGTTGGCTTATGAGCTTTTTCTGGAGATCATCTTGAGCCATAAAATCTCACTTCAAGAAGTTATAGCGGGTCCCGAATTCTCGACACTTATCATTGCCCTCTTGAATGAGACGGAATGACCAAGGACCTTAAAACGGGGCAGCAGCGGCTTCCTATGGTCACGGGTAGCACGCTCGTCTTTTTTATGCACAGCTCCATATCAGAGTCCGAGAGGCCGCGGGGGTCCGATCGACTCCTCCCCCTTACGTTAGCGGCTGTTGAAACGCCAACAGACGGGCGACGGTTAAAAGTTGCAGCTGCTTTTGAACGACTGTACGGAGGGGTGAGATGGTGACTGGTGAGGCGAGCAGGTACGTGAAAATTGGTATCTTATCAATAGTGTGCTGTGCCTTTGGCCTGGGCTAATCTTTGAACCCTGGGATGCAACAGTCACGATGGCTCCATCACTGGAGCTACAAACTCTAAAAAGATAGGCTTTCTCAGAATCCCTCATTACCCCCACCGAAAGGGCTCCATTACCCCCAAAGGGGGCACGCCCCACCATTTGCCGACCCCTGGTTTATAGCGTTAGAACCATAAAACTTAGCGTCACCAAATTTCAGACACAACTTGGGGCAGCCAATTGACGTGTGACCTGTGAGTTTTGTGTTCCAATGGCCTCAGGTCAGGTCACAAGGTCACAAAAACCGGTACATGGTCAAAATGGCACTGAAAATAAGCTATTTCGCCAATGAAATCTAGAGTAACAGAGTTGTTCTTGATTCAAACTGGCAGGGTATGCTAAGCTCACCGAGTTGTATATTTATAACCAACATCCAGGTTTTCCAAGTTCGGGTGACCTGAGGTCATCTAGAGGTCACGAATGCTTCCATATTAAGAAATAACTGGAAGTGAGTGAGGCACTGGGGCACTGGCTGCTAGCTAGCTTTTCTTTTTCGGGAAACCGAAGTGGTAGTACCGGACGTCCGGCCGGACCTTTATTTTTGCATTTGCTTCTGGGTGGGCAAATCGACGCCACTGGGTGGGCATTTATGGTGACTGGGTGGGCATTTGCCCACCCAGTGGGTATGTTAGAGGAGGCCCTGCTTCATAGCAGACGCTAAAGTGGCTGTCTCTGGATTGAAGCTGTATCGGCTGTTACGGATAGTCAGGCTGTAAAGGTCACGGCGCTAAGTTTTTCCGAAGTCATCGGTCGTCGTGAGACTGACCGTCACCAGCGCCAGTAACAGCGAGATAGTTATTCCAAAAGTTTGCTCGGCGATGCCATCTGACGCATGATTAACGCTAACGGCTCCGAGTATTGTCAAAGAATGGCACAGTTGTCATCATCATTTGGGCGTCCACTCAGCTCTCATGACAGCTTTCCCTTTCCGTTTGCTGAATTCGCTCCACTTATTTTGACTGGAAGCATTGAGTGGTAAGTGCCGAGTAACTTTCAAACTAGGTGCTGAAAACAGATGCTGCTAAATGCCGCCCTAAGCGTCACAGATCGAGAGCGAACGCACGGCCCGTTAGATCCTGGCCCTGCACATAGATGTCGCTAGTAGTTCAGCCTGAATGTATACTGTGCCGCAGTGCCTGCTGCCGAAAACCCAATACGTAGGCAGGCACTCCCAGGATGTGATCATTGGCATTACATTTACACAATGAGCAAAACAGTCGCTTTCGATCAAAAAGGATGCATTAGGAGTGTTTTGTTTCATCTTCACGTCTGCACATTGCCTTTTCCATTCGCCTTATTCCCTCCATTTCATCTTGCTCATATTACATCGGTTACATATTGCGCCGTCCGCACCGACTGAGCTGCTTCGTTCCGCAACGATTTATGTTTCCTTTAATGTCTCCAAATGCGTTATTTTCGCGCACGTCTGCGCTTTATCAGCGTGTATCCAGGCCTCTAGAGCAGTCATCAAGTCGGCACTGGGCACTGGGCGCCTTCATCAATCATAGGAAGACGAGCGGGCGAGCGGACGAGCCGGCTCTCTGGCCGGCAGGTCGGCAGACGGACAGACAGACAGATATACAGGCCGATGAAGGAGCCCCGGAGAACAGCACGGCAGCGGCCGAGTGATGGTCTACTGGCGCACAAACAGACCCGCACAGCCGGCGAACAGAGCGGTTCGAATTGTAAACAGGTGTCGAGACCACACGAACGCCCCTGCCACCGGCTCAGAGCAGAAAATCGCCTGTTCAAATACCTCACACGGCGTGCTTAAACAGCCCGAGCTGTGGAAAACGTTCTTTGAGTGCCGATGTTTTGACTTTTGAATAAGATTTTCAATGGATGAGCTGCATTACTGATAGTGGAACCTGATATAACTGCATTTAAGCTACTGACGCACGGGGGCAACTGAAATCTTTGTTAGTTATTATCTTTATATTACAGTTAATATTTCAGGCATATTTTGTTAAGCGTTTCTGAAAATATCTCGTCAAAACGAGCTATCTACAGCAACCATGACATCATTGGTAGCTAAAATATCAATAGAGTCTTAAGCAAATAAAAATGGAACAGAAAGGATAAGATTAATTATCATTATTTAACAAATGCCCTTGCCGCTTGCGCCATATTGAAAGTGTATGTTTTGCCGAATATTGCTCCAAAAGCTCCGACATTTATATCTGCAAATGTCATCGTTGTTCCACAGGTCACCTTACGACGTATTTCTGTTCATATGTCAGTGACAGGATGTTGACAGCCTCAGATCACAAGAGCAAACATACTTGATAGGAACCAGCCCCACGGTCGGATGTTGGCACTGCACCCCAAACAAGTCAGCAAGAGGCCCTTATGAGTGCTATTAATAAGAATAAGGGGGACAAATCGCACACGCAATCACGATGCTTCATATGTTTATTCTACCTCACGCAACTCACAGCTAACGGCACAACTCGTTTCTTGCACGCAAACACTTTCCCTGTGCATGGAATGCCACCGACGCCACCCCTCGCCCCAATAACGGCAATAACCGCAGCCCTCCCTCTTGGCCAACTCAGGTAATCACGGCCCCGACACATTAGCAGCGGCCAGCGGCCACCTCCAGGGCTCTCGGCCCTTCAGCGGCACGTGCTGGTCCGTGTCGTGTCTGGGTCCCATCTGCCGCCCCCCCCTGCCCCTCCCCGCGGACGGCCGGGGGGCAGCGCCCGGGGCGGCGGCCCCGGGAGCGGCCGGCCCGCGCTGCATGTCACCCAGCGATCGACAGGCGGCGGAGCGGCCGGCGGCGCGGCGACCGCACTCATTAGGTGGCCGACAGTAAATCACAGGTGCGATAACGGCCGGGGACGGTGATAACGAGCTGTTATATGCTGCAGAACCAACGGAGCGCCACGCGCCGCGCCGCGGCCGACGACCGGCCACCGGCGACCGTGGACCAGCGCCATTTGGGAGCGCGACCGGCGCTGAAATGACAGCTAGACGGCCGGCTCAGCACCCGACAGCCTCTTAAGCTGGAACTATTTCGGATGTAAAGCCTCACAATGCCGAACGGGCGTCTCCAATGCTGAGCTATGCCAGAAATCCCCTTATCGACGGCAATTCGTAATTCTATTTTATGGTTTTATGTTCGTATATGAGTTCACTGGGTATCAACCATTTTACGATGATCAGCTACACATTCTTAGATGAATGAATTTCGTTGCATAATTTCGTTTCTAACGTCGCCGAAAGTCGTTTCGTTCCGGGACATTGAAAGTTCCTGAAGTCCGGCTGGCCCGCAGGCACTGTCTCGTAGTCTCCCGGATATTCCTGTTTCATTACAGAGTTGATAAAGCCATCGTGGCCAGCCGGCACCCCCGAGACCGGGCATCAAACTTGTCAAACTGTCGCAGTCAAATTGCCGCCGAGTTGCTGACAGGCCCGGCGCTGATGGATGACGTCGTATCACTAATAAGCTCGCTCGCTCCGCGTCTCCACAGGTCCGCGTTTCACTGAAAACGGCCCGCGGTGGAACGTGGGAGACGGACACCGGATATGTGAAAAGTTGAAAATAGAGATGGATATGACCGCGAAATCATTACAGGCTCTCTCAATGAAAAAATTGCAACTCATGCGACGTTTGTGTGCGTGCTGGAGCATGAGAGTACAGTTATGCAGATACATACTTAGGGGAGAGTGGGGAAAGATGCCCAGGGTTTTACTATGTGATATATTATTCGAAAATGACGATCGGAAAGCAAAAACTTGAAGAGTCAACGGAAGCCATCATTTTTCTCCAAAAATATCACACTTTCGTGCCTGAAATATGGTAACTTTGTTTGCTATTAAGCATTTTCCTGAAGAAGTCAAAGGGGGCATCTTCCCCCACAGGGTGGGAAAGACGCCCCCTGGCGTTGGGGAAGATGCCCCCTGCACTATAAGTGACATAAATGGGCACGGGAATCGCCTGAACGAATCAGTATTCCCTTCGAGCCTGCAACTTTAGACACCAAACGTCATCGTAAGGGCCCTCAAAAGTGGTCGTAAGGTGCTTCAGAGGTCATCGTTAGGGTCATCATAGTCCAGCGCGGCCAAACAAGCTTCCGTGGTGGCGTTCGGAGACCACTGTGGGGCCCTTATAGGTCTTCATAATGCTTGAGGGCCCTCGAGCCCATCGTGGGGATCTCAGATGCCAGCGCGGCCCGTGGAGCCAACGTGGGAGCCCTCAAAGGATATCGTGAGGGGCCCTGGAGCCAATAATGGGGCCCACCGAGGCCGTCGTGAGGGCTCTTAGAGTCAGATGCCGCCCAAAAAGTCGCTGTGTGGGCCGAGAGACCGGCATGGGGAGCACCCGACCGTACTGGACTCTCAATAGTCCCAGACCGGCTTTTGTCTCTCATCACAAGCATGTAATAAATGATTTGACGGGCTGCTTGAAGGACAGCCTATGGATTTAGGGGGGCGTCTTTCCCCATCAGGAGTCGGACAGGGGGCATCTTACCCCAAGGTACCGAACTAACATTAAATCAGTACAATATGTTAGCCATAAAACTACACCCTGAAACAAACTGTTTGGGACACAGTACACGCATGTTTGTATCACGACTATATCAAGGGACGCAAAAATTATCTACCTTCTTTGATATTTACAATGTTTTGACACCAAAATATTTTTCGAAAGCAGCAAATAAAAAACATGCATTCACCAGCCAGCCGTTGCCCAACTGAGCTTCGCAATTTTTTTGTGCAGTTAACAAGGCAGGCTTCCGCTTTACGTTAAGAACATTAATTTCCGGGTTCAATTCTTTGTTTCGCCGCTAGAGGGGGTGGGGCGTCTTTCCCACCCTGGGCATCTTACCCCACTCTCCCCTACATTGACATAGAAGAAAATATAAAAAGCGAATGTGATAAAAAATTGTGTCGATGTCGATTGAATAAAAATTCATTTATTATGAGTGAATTATACTATTGCATGACATGTCATACAAAGTGAAAGGTAGTGCCATTTCTGGCGGTGACTGCACTTACCGCCCTGTCTCCCAGATCCTGGATATTGCAGGGCAGCTTGGCGGTCTGACCGGCAGTCGCCGTCACGTTCGCTGACCCGCCGTAGGTCAGCTGAGGCAGTCGTATCACCGGTCCGGCCAGGCTCGCTGCAAACACACGAAAATAGGCGCGGTAAGCTCAGAGATGCAGACGAAACAAAGTACCGACGTACGAAAAGATTGAATTTAGAAACTTGTCAGGAAAACTGACAAAGCACATTGTAATGAGCTCCGTCAGTGCACGTGTTTTACAAATTGGACATACTTGCAAAGCTGTAGCCTCATTTGAACAAATCGCTAGACACTTTCACTTTGTCTGGCCTTCCCCGCCCACTTTTCTATTAACTGCCCATCGACACATCCCATCCAATATCCAGTATCGGCCCGGCCGGTGTCCCTTATGCATGGACCGATGGAATCGGCGGCGGGCCGAATTTCCGGCGCGCCTCCGTCCAACACTCGGAACGAAACCTAGCGGCACCGCCGCGGGGCGACAGCCAATTCTGTGTCGACTCCATAAGCTGCTGAAATTCCTGCGAATCTCCGCCGAGAAATATCGCTGTCATCCCGCTGGTCGGCCGCGGACGCCCCTCGGGTGCCCCGGCTGGCCGCGGGTCAAAGGTCAGCTGACCTGTCGGCGAAATTCGCCCTGCCGTGCGCCGCCGGACCGACACCGGCATACGTCATGTCAAGTCACCGAACGTACGCACGGAAGCGCTGGGCTGAAAGCCCCCTGTTGGAGGATTCGCTGCCGGTGACACGGTGGCAGCGTCTGGTCAGACGAGCGGACATGCCACTGACCACGGGGTCGTGGAGTACTGTCGTCTCTGACTGACCGAGTCGCCGTCAGAACGCCCCACAACCGCGCAGTGATCCGGCCGAGGCGACGTCTGAGGCCGTCTGGGGCCGCACCCAAACCCAGTCAGATCGGACGACGGCAAACAAAGCGGCTGATTTGACCAGCGCCGGCCGCGGCCCAGCAGGCCATAGCTCTCAAACAGATGGAACAGCTGAGGCTGACAGACTTTGGCCTCAAAGCTGATTGGTCGAGCTGTTCAGCGGATTAGCTCATCGGTCTTATTTGTCTCTGTCTGAGGTAAAGTGAGTCCATGGCCGCATGAGCGACCCCGGCAGAGTGTTGGGAGCACTACTCTGATCCATGCAGATTTAAGTTTTGGCAACGATATTTCCATATATTATATTTAGATTATTTTAGATTATATTTAGGTTATTGGCAACGCTCATTTATCTAAATAAACGATATTTAGAAGCCAAATATATTAAACAGTAGGCTCCAAATGTATGTAGTATTTAATTAGTATCTCTAAAGTCTGTACACTACGCTTTGAAGTGTGTGCATTTGATTCAGCTTGATAGTGCCCTGATTTGAGTAGTCTCAAAAGCATGAGAAACTTCGTTGTCGTAGCTAAGAAATATTTCAGTACATTTGAAACACTTTCACTTTGTAACACTTTGTAACTTTCCGGCAATTTCAGGCCGTCCCACATTCCTTTTCAATACCTTTCAAGCATTGTAAAAAGTTTTTACTTGTCACCTCCTTCGCCGGCTCGCAAGTGTTAAAAAGCAATGGTCTGAGCAGTCCATTTTTAAATACGTGTGTTAGTGAATGACTAGCTGGTTTGGCGCCTCATAAGCAGCCTACGGCACGCAATTCTAGTGGCATGTGCAATGTGGATTATGCAATGAGCATGTCAGAGGAAGCGGTGTACCATGCACACAGTAAGTCCCCTGTTTTATCGTTATGTGCCGTGCCGTGTTTTATCGTCTCATCCACTCGACACGGGGTGTGATGAGTTACGGTAGTATAGTAGTGTGTTTCTGCTGGTTCATGTATGCCACAGTTACAATGTCTCCATGCTTTATTCTGGCACTTTCACAACGCAATTGCTTTTAATAACGGCTATAAAGGTCAGCTCGGCCCACCACCAAAGAGGCTGAAGACATGTCAGCAAACTTACGAGAGGAATGTCATTCGTAAATCCAATGCCGTTGAGCAAAATGGCATACGTGTGCTCGCGCCCGTGGAATTTACTTCTAATTCAGCGTACGCAAGCATCCTATACTCATAACAAACCTAACGTAGCATGCATGCCATTAAATGCACGCCGAGCGGGGCATGGGTTCGTATGCATGCGTGGATATTCATGTTTACTATGTATGAGTCTTTTACCACACTATACATAGTTACTACCAAATACAGTTATTACCTAATATTAAATGTAAAAAACAAACAATAATTTCTTTAATTCAAGTTATCTGTTGATTGGTCGAGCTAGAGAAAGATCATTGATATATGCCTTGCAATGTTTCTTGGAATAACTTTATTACGCAATCCAAAAGTAAGTTGCACCATCTTTATATAAGTTGTGTCTGTCTCCATACAGCACATGGCTTTCATTTTTTCCATGCATTTATTGCATCATGATGTTGATAACTCTTATATCTTCGATATTACTTCAAAAGTAAATATTTGATTGCATTTAGAACCAAAGCAGCAAAAAGCAATAATATCACAAAAATACTACCTAGACAGACAAGCTAAAATGTATACATACACTTTACAGTTTAAATCGCCAATAATGTCAGTATAGTATGGCTTTACGCCCGTAATCTCTGCGTACTGCGTAGACTGGCTTCATCCAGCATTGCATCTACTTAAATCAGTTCAGCCGGCAGCCGCTCCTGGAAGACTTGACTCGTAAAGCGGATCCAGGAACGGGTGGCCCCAGTGAACTCCCGGCTCTCAAAATGATCACTTCTCAAACTCCGCTTCTAGCAGCATGGGCTGTATATTAGGCTATATTCGTATCTAATCCCTATTTGGGATTCTAGCTTGTGCGTCGTTAGTTTCGTCGCTAGCACACGACCGGCAAGATCTTTGTGAAGGATCATGTCATTGGCAGACTGAACGTTGAAGTTTTCAGTCCCACGTGTTCCGGTTCGCCTCAGCCGTCTCCTTTACTACCGTCATATCCCGCACGATTTACCAGTACTCACGACCAGCCCAACTCCGTCAAAACCACTTCGCGTAACTGCGTGCAGACCATCCCACGTCGCTCCTCTCTGCCCATTGCCGCTCTCCGTAGTTTCAGTGAAGTCTGCCGTCGCGCCGGCTGAGAGAGAGGTCCGATTTACAGCAGCCACTGACCGCAGTGACGCCTCCGCTTCTCAGCGGCGGGCGGCGCACTGTCGCAGCGGTCCGGTACAGGGCCGACGATCGACCCGCGACGGCTTCGACGGCCGCGACGACATCCCGTCGGTCCCGTCACGTCCCGACGAGCCGGGGCGGCGCGGCGGCCGAGCTTTCTCTGATGCCGGGCACGATTAGCCGTGACGGAGTGCCCGGGCGCGGGGGACCCGGCGCGGCCCGGCCGGCTAATGCCGCGTATTTTCACCTTAATTTCGTCTGTAACTCAGCTGGCTGTTGGTGTAATGGCCCGCGGAGAGGTGCCGGGCCCCGGTGGAGCGCGGGGCAGGCCGGCCGACCCGGCGCCGGTCGGTGAGTCCGCGCCCGCCGCACGGCGCGCCCAGACGGAAATGGAGCCATAAACGGTGGAAATCGGCCGCTCTGAATCTGATGATGACGACGTGGATGTCCGATTTGATCCCGATGTCCCATGGCGCGCCCATTGGCGGATGACCGCAATCCCGGCCAGGGGCCTTCTGAGGCGATCTCCAAGCCAACTTGGTGGCATTCATGATCTCGGTCGGCCAGTCGAGCTAGGTTCAATATCCTGCGGAGCTCCTGGTGGCAGCCATCGGCGTCCAGACTTCGGCTAGTGAGATGCGATAGGTAAATAAGACACCTGCTCTCACGACATCCGCGGCCGTTCTGAAAACACGTTACGTAATGGAAGTCCAATCCAATACCTGTGTGTATATTTTTATATTTTTCAATCTTTATGAAACAGTGCTCGGGCAGGACGAAGCTAGACTGATTTATCTTTATGTTTTAGGGGATGAAAACAGGACTGGTGAAATCAGTTTTCTCTGAACCAAATTATCTGCACTATTAAAATTGCACCAAATATCTATTTATTCTACCGGATAGTTTGATTAGGTTAGATGACAACAGAAATGGGCTGCAACGGTAAATGAATGTTGCATAGGTCAACAAGTATGCGGGGCCAGGACAATGATATAAAAAAACGTATAAAAAGCGTCATTTATCATCCTACATGTGCTTGACAGAGGCAACTAAGAGGATCCATCTTCGGTATAATGTTGATGCATTTGCGCATTGTGAATGTCTTTGATTAGGTGGGTTTATACACGATTCTTATCTATTTGTTTTAAGAATATCAAAATGTATTAGCAGCTCATACTTTTACCGTCTTCTGTATAGACAATAGACATAATATAAAGACACGCCACATTGCGGCGCTGTATGATGTACCGCACACCAGCACCTCGTCGTCCGAGGCACCATGACGTGTTCGACAGTGCCGTGTGATGGAAAGTCATTATCTACGCAGGAGGTGCACCCCTCCCCCCCCCCCCTCCGGCCACAATCAATCGTCTGATCCGAGCCAGACATTCGCAGAGAGGCCGCGGGTTTCCGGTGGGGAGGGGACGGTGAGAGGGAGGAGGAGGAAGATATAGCAGTAAGCGGTAGTGGTGAGCAAATAGGCCAGGCAACGGAGTTTTTGTTGTGGATTGATGTAGCCATTCTGTGCTAAGAGTTTCATGTAATCCTCCAATTGCAAATCAGTGGATGTCATTCATATTGTGGCAGTTCACGATCGGCATCTCCAGTGGACTGTAGTGAACATTTTCCGCCACCTTTGTGTCGGCCAATCGGAGTCGACGCTCGGAACTGTCAGGAAGTTCCGAGTCATAAAGCAACTGCCGCGCCGGCCGCCCAGCCAAGTTGGCCACTCGAGCTTTGACGACAGCCTATATCACCAGAGCCAATTGCATTGCAATGTTTCGCGAAACTGCTCGTCTCCGGGACTGTCGACGCATTCTGTGTGAGTACTGGGGAGATAACTACGCTGTGTGCTATATAACATATGTACAGTCGTGTACAGGTTGATGGTCCCCTACTCTTTATCCACCGGGTTCCTATGGCTCAGCATTGGCAGCAG